CCCCCCCCCACACCTCCAGCTTACCCTGGCAAGTTTCTCACTGGCGTCACTGTAGTTCCACAGAGTCATGTAAGTATAGTAGGTGGGGAACCAGATATCGTCGTTCTTGAAGATACCCAGGCTGTTCATCTGTTTCAGCATGTTGATGGTGATCTCTGGCGGTCAAAGGGTTAAAGGTTAGTGGAGTTGAGTTGAATTCAGTTTAGTTTAGTCTTGTCTAATTTAGTTTAGTATACTTTAGTCTAGTCTAGTCTAAATGTAGTTGAGTTGAGTTGAGTTCAGTTTAGTCCACTCTAGTTTAGTTTAGTTTAGTTTAGTTTAGTTTAGTTTAGTTTAGTTTAGTTTAGTTTAGTTTAGTTTAGTCTAGTCTAGTCAGTCTAGATCTAGTTTAGTTGAGTTGAGTTGAGTTTAGTCTACTCTAGTTTAGTCTAGTTTAGTTTAGATTAGTTAAGTCTAGTCTAGTCTAGTTAGTCTAGATCTAGTTTAGTTGAGTTGAGTTCAGTTTAGTCTACTCCAGTTTAGTCTAGTTTAGCCTAGTTTAGTCTAGTTTAGTCTATTTTAGTTAAGTTTAGTCTAGTTTAGTCTAGATCTAGTTTAGTTTAGTTGAGTTCAGTTAAATCTAGTTTAGTCTAGTCTAATTTAGCTTAGCTTAGTTTACTTTACTTTAGTTTAGCTTAATTTAATTCAGATCAGTTTAGTTCAGTTCAGTTCAGTTCAGGTTAGTAAGAGTTTTACGGCGCTCGCAACTACAAAAGGTCAAATGAGCGCGCGAAACACGAGTTGGTTGTATTCACAAAAGTTCACAGCACGACTTGATTTCGTGTAACAGTAAGGGTCACCTATAGCTTTCTGGGATTTCATAAACGTCTGTCTGTCTGTCTGTCCGTCTGTCTTGCTGTGTGTCTGCCTTGCTGTCTGTCTGTCTGTCTTTTTTTTTTTTGGTAAGCGTTTTACGGCGCTCGCAACTGCATAAGGTCATTTGAGCGCGCGGGACACACCTAATACTTTTAGTTTGTAGGAAATTTTGAATTTTGCCCGGGTGGCGGCCGAAGCCTACTCTTACTGATTTTAGACCACCAAGGGATCTTTAACGTGCGCAACTTGCACACGGGACCTCCGAGATTTTTTGCCCTTGTCCGAGAAGGCTAGGTGTAGATCTTTCCTACCAGAAGATCAGGCGTGTGGCAGAAAGACAGCTGTGAGAAGGAGTCAATGAGTAGCAATAGAAAGGCTGCAGAAAGAGTCAGGAGCCCAGAGGAGGGGGCAAAGGAAGACCAAAGCAGACAACAGAACATTGCTAGAGAGCAGGAAAGGAGGTGACAGGAGACAATTTTCGAGAAGAAAATTTTTCGGTCGCTACCCGGATTCGATCTCGGGACCTTTTGAATGAGAGGCCAACACCTTAACCTCTAGGCCACGAGGGCCTCCTTCTGTCTGTCTGTCTGTCTGTCTGTCTGTCTGTCTGTCTGTCTGTCTGTTTGTTTGTCTGTCTGTCTGTCTGTCTGTCTGCCTGTTTCACTCACCTGCATACCCTAGATCAGCCAACAAGTCACCAATAACTAGCCTGTCCCCTGCATAGTCCCAATAGATATCACCTATAGCTTTGTGGTATTTCATTTCGTCTGTCTGCCTGCCTGTCTGCCTGTCTGTCTGTCTGTCTGTCTGTCTGTCTGTCTGTCTGTCTGTCTGTCTGTTTGTTTGTCTGTCTGTCTGTCTGTCTGTCTGCCTGTTTCACTCACCTGCATACCCTAGATCAGCCAACAAGTCACCAATAACTAGCCTGTCCCCTGCATAGTCCCAATAGATATCACCTATAGCTTTGTGGTATTTCATTTCGTCTGTCTGCCTGCCTGTCTGCCTGTCTGTCTGTCTGTCTGTCTGTCTGTCTGTCTGTCTGTCTGTCTG